TGTATACGGGCTCCCTGTGGGAGTGGTGTAAATGTACCTTTGTACCATCATTCATAATACAAGGAACCTTTGGTTCCCTTCGTATGAATTTCCACTTGTTTGTGTCTTTGTTTATGTTTTGAGCGTTGATGCTTGTCAATAATTAGTCTGATGTGTTGGACTTTTATGATAGGAACCCTTAGGTTATGCTCGATGAATAATTGATGATAGTTAACCATTCAGGGCTTGGTCCTCGAATCAAGTTTTGATTCAGGCTCATTGACCCTTAGGTTTTCGATATACTGGCCCTTAGGCTCTTACGAATTGGCCCTTAGGCTCTTTAGGCTGGCCCTTAGGCTCTTACTCATTGGCCCTTAGGCTCTTTAGGCTGGCCCTTAGGCTCTTACGCATTGGCCCTTAGGCGCTTTTTAGATTGGGTCGATGCGACCTCTAATATGGCTATAGTTTTCCCATTTTCAGCTAAAGATTTGATTATGCCTTGGCATGTTTCATGTTCGTCCGACTCTTCGACGGGTTAAATAAGAATCTCGATTACGAATTGATATGCGACGATAATCGAGTACCTCGGGAGGTTCTCTTGAAGGCTGATTTTTCGAAGCCTTTTGCTGAAGGCTGATTGTATCGAAGCCTTTTCATTGTTTAGAGCTGATATGATCGAAGCTCTTTTCCTTATTGCGGGGGTAGCCTGATTAACCGGTTCTTTTTGAAGTGTTTTCGAAGTATTTGAAGATCTTTAGTTCTATGGCGGCAGTCGGACGTCTCCGAGCCGTGTTAATTTGGCCAGAGCCTTTTGATGCGACCGTAGTCGATAGTCCCTGGGTGAGATGACCTCGGTGTCTATATCGAGGGTATGCCCTTTTAGGGGTCTTACAAGTTCGATATATAGCCTCGGTCTTAATATAGGGGTTATTCCTTTTTAAGGTCTTATGAGTTTTGGTATGCCTTGCTGAGGTCTTACAGATTTGATGTTTTTGATGGCTCAATGAGTTGACTGTCGAAGACAGACCCCGAGTGTTCGAGAGTTTTTGGCTCTTAGGCCGTTTCATGTGACAGTAGTAAACTTCTTTGAGGCGCGAAGTGTTTTGATAAGCAAAGAGGCTTCCTCGATTACTTGATATATGCGTACATGTTTTTTGCTTTTGGAGGCTCGATTATTCTACGTGGACACGGTTCATTTGACCGTTTGACCCAATACAACATTCTCCTATCGAGGTCCTCCTGGGCATAGCTTGATTTCTTCCGAGGGGTGACCTTCTGGGGTGATGCCCCCCAGTATTTGAGGTTGATTGAAGAGAAACCTTGAATACTTGATGAGTTCTCCTTAGGTAGCGTATGGATGTTGCCTCGTTAAAAACCTCACTGGAAAAACCCGTTTGGGATAAAATCCGATCTAAGGGAAAAAGAGTGCGATGCATGCTTTAAAACCCAAGGTCTTTGAGATGGAGGGCGCTTCGATTCCTCTCGATCGAACACCTGCAGTAAATTAGTGTAAAACATAAATAAAAAGGGAGAGGGTTGTACCTTGGCGATGGTGTTCGAGCTTTTATAAATTCCGAGTACTTGTTCCGGGGACGCGACACGGTCCTTTACTCACTCGTTCGGATGTAGCCGAGAATGTAGGTTGTAGTCGTTAGCTGATTTTTTGCTTGTCTTTTGGCCTCTATGATGTAGAGGGTGTTGATGCCGGTGACATGTCGTGCACCGCGAACATCTCTCTTTTTTCATGCTGCTCCCCGCATACTGCCTTTACTCAATCCTTGGTTGGAAATTTCATCGTTTGATGGAGGGTCGAGGGTACTACCCTCATACTGTGTATCCACGGCCTTCCAAGTAAGGCATTGTATCTCATGTCACCTTCGATGACATGAAACTTGGTATCTTGGATGGTACCGGCTACGTTGACCGGGAGGATGATTTCCCCTTTTGTTGTCTTGCTCTCCATGTTTAATCCATTGAGGAATCGAGAGGCGGGTACAATCTGGTCGAGCAGTCCGAGCTGCTCCACCACTTTCGACCTGATTATGGTGGCCGAGCTACCCGGATCCACGAGCACACTTTTAATCTGAATTTTATTTAAAAGAAAAAAAATTACCAATGCGTCATTATGAGGCTGAGACAAGGTCTCGATGTCCTCTTCGCTGAACATGAGAGCATCCTCTGGTACGTAACTCCGAGTTCGCCTTTCCCTGGTGATGAATATCTTTGTCCGTTTGAAAACGGGTTCCTGTGGGGCGTCAACCCCTCCAACGATCATGTGGATGATGTGCTGCGGTTCTTCTGGTTCATTTTTCCTGTTTGTATCTCTTTCTCGAAAATGGTTCTTGGCCCGGTCATTGAGAAACTCACGAAGGTGCCCTTCATTGAACAAACGGGCTACATCCTCCCTGAGCTGCCTGCAATCCTCGGTCCTATGACCATGAGTTCCGTAATACTTACACATCAAGTTGGGATTCCTCTGTGAAGGGTCTGATAGTATGGGTTTCGGCCACCTAGTATCTTTGATTTTACCTATGGCTAAGACGTTATCCGAGACATCAACGTTGAAGTTGTACTCAGATATCTGGGGTGCCTCTGCCGGCCCAATGTGCCTATCGAAACCGGCTTTACTCATGAGTCCCCGGGAATTTTGACCTCGATCCATCCTTTAATCACCTCGAGGTATATTACGCCTTGGCGAGTTTCTTCGGTCTTCTACATACGGCTGGTATCTTTCCTTGTTTAATCTTGGCTCTCTTTCTGTAAACCTTTGTTCCTTCGTTAAGAGCCTACTAGGATATACTGAGCCCGAAGGGGCTCCTAATTGGTCGTCTTCGACCCTGATTTTCGACTGATACCTGTTGTGCACATCCCCCCAAGTCACGGCGGGATATTCGACCAAATTTTCTTTTAGCTGCTTCGAAGCTACCGAGCTTCGTTCGTTCAAGCCCTGAGTGAAAGTCTGTACTTCCCAGTCATCGGAGACTGGTGGTAATTCCATTCGCTCCATCTGAAAAGGAGATACGAATTCCCTTAGCATCTCGTTATCTCTCTATTTGATTTTGAAGACATCGGACTTCCTGGTGGCGACCTTGATGGCACCGGCGTGTGCCCTCACAAAAGAATCCGCCAACATGGCAAATGAATCTATAGAATTTGGAGGCAGGTTATGATACCACATCATGGCCCCTTTCGATAGCGTTTCTCAGAATTTCTTCAACAAGACGGACTCTATCTTGTCGTCCCTTAAGTTATTTCCTTTTACAACACAAGTGTAAGCGGTGATATGCTCGTTGGGGTCTGTGGTCCCGTTATATTTCGGGACGTCGGGCATTCTGAACTTCTTCAGGATGGGCTTCGGAGCCGCACTTGGCGGAAATGGTTTCTGTATGAACTTCTTTAAATCTACGCCCTTCAGAATCGGTGGCACTCCCGGGATCTGATCGACCCTCGAGTTATAACTCTCCACCCTTTTATCATTATCTTCTATCTTCTTTTCTCCTGATTCAATTCTTTTAGTGAGGTCCTCGAGCATCTTCATAATAGCAGGGTCAGCTGCTGACCCGTTGTTGCTCGATCTCTCCGGTACCTGCTCGACTCGAGGAGCCGTTTTCGGTGCTACTGTGCTTGGGGTTTTTTGGTGGCTTTGTAGCTAAGCAATAGCCACCTGGTGTGCTTGTAACATTTCAAAAATGACTTGAGGACTAACGTCTCTTTCCTCACCGCGCACGCTTCCATTGGTAGGACAGCTTACATCGACATGCACAGCGTTCCATGAGCTTACGTCTATAGCGATTTGTGCTGGTGCCTCCCCTGGGTTCTGCGGTGGTACACCGGCATCTGCTGGTGCTATCCCTGGGTTTTGTGATGGTACACCGGCATCTGCGCCGTTTTCTCCCTGGAGCCCAATGCCGTTGTTCTCATGTGCATTTGCTGAGTTAGACATTTTGACCTGAAATCAAAGATTCTTGGACAAGAAAAAGTGTGAAGGATAACTTGTGTTTTCAGAAAACTAGCACCAAAACAATCACTATTATTTTTAGCCCCACCGTGGGCGCCAAACTGTTTACCTTGAAAATG